CAAAACATTAATAGTGCTAATAACAAAGGCCATGTAATATTCTTAATATACAAAGAGCTCTTACAAACTAATAGGAAAAAAATAATAGAGAAATGTTGTGGTTGTTGTTATGTGCCGTCGAGTCAGCTCCGACTCATAGCGACCCCTCCTTGGGTTTCTGGGACAGTATCACTACGGAAGTAGATTGCCCATCCTTCCTTCCGAGGAGTGGCTGGTGGGTTTGAACCGCCGGCCTTCTGGTTAACAGTCAAGTGCCTTAGGCACTATGGTTATCAACAGAATTTACAAAGGAATAAATGCAAATGACTGATTAATAAGAGGTGGTTATACTCACTAGGACTCAGAAAAATGTTCATGAAATGAAATGAAGATAATTCTATACCATGTGTTACAAGGAGCTATGGTGGGGCAGTGCCTAAGGCATTTGATTGCTAACCAGAAAGTTGATGGTTCAAACCCACCAGCCCTCCATGGAAGGAAGATGAGGCAATCTACTTCCATAAAGATCCACTGCCTCGGAAAGCCAGTGGTGGTCTCTGTGAGTCACAATCGACTTGATGGCAGTAGGTTTGGTTTTTGGGTTGACCATGTATCATATATCAATAGGCAAAAATTAACATTGAGAACATTGATATGGAAGAGACTTGGACATGTTTAAAGCTGATAGGAAGGACAAGAAAAGCAGGAGAAATGGACCATATTGGAGTGAGTGATGTGAGGAGATGAGAGCCGGAGCAAAAGTGGATGAATTAGCATAAATTAGGAAAAGGGATGGCACTTCCCTTTTATTAGGAGTGAAGTCAGAAAAGGTAGATGTGTATGCAGATGAGTCCATAGATGTGGGGGGTAAAATAATGATGGAGCTGTTCTGATCTTTATTTTCTCTGTAATAGAGGCTGGGACATCTGTTTTAAATGCTGTCATATGGAAGGATGGTAATTCAGAAACATGAAAGGAGATGGCTTCTTCACTTAAGTTATTTGAGGGCAGGCATTTCATTTTGCCCCTTAAAGAACTCCATAAATATTGTTTTACTTTGCTGTGTTTAGTTCTGTTCCAGTTGAAGAGCAAGAAGAATTTAAGCAGCTTTCAGATGATATTCAGGAACTGCAGCAATTGCTTAATCAGGAGTTTCGTCAAAAAACAGTGAGTGTGTATTGTTAGACAGCTTAAAATTTAAAAAAAAAAAAAAAAAAAAAAAAGCCTTTACAGATGTGCAGGGCCATGTAGTATGGGTAAGAGCACATTACTTTTAATTAGTAAAGAAATGGGATATATTGCCACGCCCATTTGTATCCCTTACAATGGGTACATAGTTCTGTCAGCCACAGTGGTTTATTTGTGTTGCTGAAGTAATGTTCTGCCTCATTGGTACAATTTTTTAGCATTTTCTTATATTTAATCCTGCTGTTCCTAAACTGCACTGAGTTACCTTGACCCTGCAGCCAACCCTCAGGGTGCATCAGGGTATTTTTAAGTTTTCAAGGGAAACACTACAGTTCTCAGCATATATCAGCTAATGCTTGAACTACTAACTCAAGATAATTCAGTTTCAATAATAGATCATGCTATCTTCCTTTCAAAGACACTCTTTGTGAAACTGGGTTTCTGGGGTTCACTGTGTTATAAAAGCACATACTATGGGAAAATCATTATGGAACAGGAAATGAGAGGATCTGTGTCCAATTTGATTCTAAGACTTGAGTGTTTATGTAGTGCCCAATAGGTATAGACATCTAGTTAGGAAGTAGTTGTGGTTATTTAAAGGAGCTCTGTTGGTACAATTGGTAAGGCATTGGGCTACTAACTAGAAGGTCTGTGGTTCAAACCCACCAGCTGCTCTTGGGGGAGGAAAATGGGGCAGTCTACTTCCATAAAGATTTACAGCCTTGGAAACCCTATGGGGGTCACTATGGGTCGGAATCAACTCAATGGTAGTGGGTTTTGTGGTTGTTTAAGAATAAAATTAAAAATATTTTTTTGTAAGGGCTACTAGGATGTTAGGATATAAATACTAAATACAGTTCTTTGAACTTACTACTTAATAAAGGAACTGTGAAATATTTCTTTTGGCACTGTAAACAGGGAAGGTTTAAAAATCTCTGTTCTAATCCTTTGTCTTAATCCTTTCTTACCTTATTTTACAGACAGCATTGAGTGGATAAATCTATAAGGTTTTTGAATGATTACAAATAATTGTTTGCTTTTTTCCTTAGATAGTGCTACAAGAAGGAAATTCCCAAAAGAAATCAGATATTTCAGAGAAAACCAAGCGTTTGGTAAGCATCTTTTCATTTAACTAGCATTTAAGGTTTAGAATATTGTGTAGAGGAGTATTTTAACTGTGTGTGTTAGAGTCAAATGTTCCTCCCTTATTTTTTTCTCCAAAATGAAAAAACTTCTTTTTTTTCCAATTTAAATTTAATAAATAATTATCCTTTTTAAATGTATGGAAACACTGAAATATATGAAGAAAATAAAAAAATACTTGAAATATTATGACATAATCTGATATTTGATATTGTAGGTTGCATTTTTCTCTGCAAATATATATATGTATAATTTTACATAAATTATATTATACTCTTTACATGTTCTCAAACCTGCTCCTTTTTTCACATAATAGTATACTTCAGATAGCTATTGTGTCTATATGGATCCTCATGAATTTAATGGTAGCATATGATTGTGCCTTATATGTATGTACCACAATATAGATCCTTCAAATCCTGTATTAATGGACATTCACATTTCTTCTAAGTTTTTGCTATTGAACATAAGTATGTATATGTGTATGCTACAGACATATACCACATGTACCTAATATTTGTGTATCTTGCTGCTTTTCATCTTTGGATAAATTCCTAAGTGTAGGATTTCTGGTCAAAATAAATATACATTTAAAATTCACACATTGTCAAACTTACTTCTGGAAAGATACCAATTTATGTAATATGATGGTGTACCTTTTCCTTATAAAATTGAGTAGTTTTGGTTGCTTCTTTGCAGATTTTTGTTTGTTTCTATGGGGGGTTTTGTTTGTTTTAGTTTAATTTTTATCACTCTTACAGGGAAAAAACCCACAAATATTCATTCCTCTGTTTCTAGTGATTTTGAGACTTTCAATCAGTGGTTGCTGATACTTCTTATTTAGTAAACTACCTATTTGTGTACCTTGCTTACATAATTTTTAAGAAACTCCCTAAATTAGGGATATTAACTCTATTTTTCTTTCAAATTCATAATTTTTTCCTGTCAGAAGGTTTATATTTTTCTATAGTACAATTTATAGATATGGCCTTTATGGTTTGGAGGCCTTAATCCTATATGTAGGAAGGCCTGTCCTATTCTTGAGATTATTGTTATTTTTAATCCTATAGTTTCTCACTGTACTTTTTTGGTTGCCCTGTTATTACTTTTTTAATGTTGTTGTTGTTTGCCGTCGAGTCGGCCC